GGCTATAAAGGAGTATGAACTAGGTCGACCGTTGTGGATTGCAGAGCAAAGTGTATAAAATTGTCGAAGAAAAAAATTGAAATCTTACAAAGTTACGACCCTAGCTTATTTTTGTGGAGTTGAAATTTCCATTTTTCGGTCTCGATTCAACTTTGAACCACAAAATCCTATTATTATAAGATTATAATAATTTAATACATTATATTGATAATAATTTTCATAAAATATTGCACAAAAATGGTTCATAAAATAGAATGGCTTAAAAATCAAAAGTTCTTTTAATTTTGTGTAAGAGACGTGAATTAATTATATTATAGAACTTGTTTATAATATAATATAGCATGCTGCTACTCGAATTCAAATCGAGATGCTCTAGTACAGCTTCCTAAGGAGCGTGTCTACCGATTTTACTATAATGACCTATTATTATTTACTTGTCTACCGATATTTTGTATCAATTTATTGATAAATTCATTGGTTATGATATCACTTAGTAGTTTGTGAAGTCGTACTATAAAATATGTTTCATTAAATTTTAAAAATATCTTTAATTAAAATAAATAATTAGAGAAAAAAATGTAGGAAAATCATTTCATTTAGAAAAACAATATAGAAATAATGAATTTGCCTACAAAATAGTTGTTTGGCTTAAGTTTTTCTTTGTAAATAGCCAAAGAAACATCCATGCTTAACAATTACTCTCAAGCTTGTGTGCTACTTGGTGCAATGTTTAGGGTTTGAGCAACGCTTCCAATTGGTGCAATGTTCGGGGTTTGAGCAACGCTTCCAATTGGTGCAATGGTCGGAGTTTGAGCAACGCTGCTTCCATCCGATGCAGCCTCTGGGGTTAGAGCAATACTACTTCCATCTGATGCAACGCTTCCAATTGGTGCAATGGTCGGGGTTTGAGCAACGCTGCTTCCAACCGATGCAGCCTCCGGGGTAAGAGCAATACTGCTTCCATCCGATGCAATGCTTCCAATTGGTGCAATGGTCGGGGTTTGAGCAACGCTGCTTCCATCTGATGCAGCCTCCGGGGTTAGAGCAATGCTGCTTCCATCCGATGCAGCGCTTCCAATTGGTGCAATGGTCGGGGTTAGAGCAATGCTGCTTCCATCCGCTGCAACGCTTCCAATTGGTGCAATGGTCGGGGTTAGAGCAATGCTGCTTCGATCCGATGCAACGCTTCCAATTGGTGCAATGGTCGGGGTTCGAGCAATACTGCTTCCATCCGATGCAGCCTCCGGGGTTAGAGCAATGCTGCTTCCATCCGATGCAACGCTTCCAATTGGTGCAATGGGGGTTTGAGCAACGCTGCTTCCATCCAATGAAGCCTCCGGGGTTTTAGCAACGCTGCTTCCATCCAATGAAGCCTCCGGGGTCTGAGCAACGCCGCTTCCATCCAATGAAGCCTCCGGGGTCTGAGCAACGCCGCTTCCATCCAATGAAGCCTCCGGGGTCTGAGCAACGCCGCTTCCATCCAATGAAGCCTCCGGGGTTTGAGCAACACTGCTTTCATCAGATGCTGCAGATGTTGCCTCAGGTTGGGTGAGAGCACTTCCATCAGATGCTGCCTCCGGCGGGGATTGAGCAACGCTGCTTCCATATGATGCTGCCTCCGGCGGGGTTAGAGCAACGCTGCTTCCATCTGATGCTGCCTCCGGCGGGGTTAGAGCAACGCTGCTTCCATCCGATGCTGCCTCCGGCGGGGTTAGAGCAACGCTGCTTCCATCCGATGCTGCCTCCGGCGGGGTTAGAGCAACGCTGCTTCCATCCGATGCAGCCTCCGGCGGGGTTAGAGCAACGCTGCTTCCATACAATGAAGCCTCCGACGGGGTTAGAGCAACGCTGCTTCCATCCGATGAAGCCTCCGACGGGGTTAGAGCAACGCTGCTTCCATCCGATGAAGCCTCCGACGGGGTTAGAGCAACGCTGCTTCCATCCGATGAAGCCTCCGACGGGGTTAGAGCAACGCTGCTTCCATCCGATGAAGCCTCCGACGGGGTTAGAGCAACGCTGCTTCCATCCGATGAAGCCTCCGACGGGGTTAGAGCAACGCTGCTTCCATCCGATGAAGCCTCCGACGGGGTTAGAGCAACGCTGCTTCCATCCGATGAAGCCTCTGGCGGGGTTAGAGCAACGCTGCTTCCATCTGATGCAGCCTCCGGGGTTAGAGCAATGCTTCCATCCGATGCAGCCTCCGGGGTTAGAGCAATGCTTCCATCTAATGCAGCCTCCGGGGTTAGAGCAATGCTTCCATCTAATGCAGCCTCCGGGGTTAGAGCAATGCTTCCATCTTGTGCTTGTGTGTCATGTGATGCAAAGGCACGAAATGAAAATTGATGATCGAGATTTACGACACCAGTGACATCACTAAAAGTGGCACCCACTCTTGCACAATACTGCCAAGAAATCACTAGGAAAAGGGTATGAAAGAGCTTGAAACCTTTGCCAATGGCCATTGGGCTTGTAAGGTTACAAGCTCGTTTCACAAATGATGAAGAGCAGCAATTGCTAAGATGTTGGTGCTTGGATTTTTCTTACAATGTGAAGCCCTATATATAGTTTGATGGGAAAACTATATCTAGAAAAGACCACCAAATTTAGAAAGGGTGTTAAATTTTGTGGGTTTGGGAGTATTCCAAGTATAGAATGTTTGACTATTCAATTTCTAATTTCTCCCTCCCTTCATTTGAGGATGATTAAGAATAATTATATTTTTAAAGTTCTTTGGTTCCAATTCTAAAGTTTCTTCTCAAAACTTAAGGCACAAGTCACAATGTGATATTTTTAAGCTCCATTTCAAGCACATAGTTCATAACTATAAACACTTTGTAATTACATGCATGAATCTTTAATAGTATACTAAATAAGCGGCCCACAGCATATCATGTCAATTAGGAGTTCATAAAAATCATCAATGTTTATGAAAGATTCATTAGGGTTATTTTTCATAATTTTCTATCATAGTATTTTCTTATACCCAAACATGTTTTAATAAATTTGAAGTCATATATAATCGTCTACAATTTTATAAATGAGTCTCATATAAAATTTCATATTATTTCAAGTTCGTTAAATACTTAGAAACATCACGAGGTCCTACGTGTATTTTTGNCTGGTTTAGGATTTAAACTTGATCCAATTAGGATGAAATCTTACATAGTTTTGCATATCATTATAATTATCCATATTTAGATTCTCAAGTCATTTGGAGTCCATTTTAGGCATAAAATATCTTAAACCCATAAAATAAGTATTTTTGTCATTATTCACCAACCTTCGTTTGGGGCCTAAACATTCTCAGGTTACTTTGAAATATTTTACAATAATTCTTAACCATAAAAATAGGTTTCATATGAGATCTTTTAAGTAATTTAACTTATATGCTTAGTACGGACATTTTTGTAATTTTATCCCTTCTAATTTTTTTAGGCACTTAACATTCTACTACTCGTCACTTGAATGTATATAGAAAAAGGTGTAAATAATCACAAGTATAAGTTCAAGTATATACTATGTGATATGAACCAAGACACCAATCATGCAATATAAACTGTAAGGAAAATGTGAAGAAAATATTGTTCAAATTATAACAAAATGTTCAATTCATGTCACCTTAAAGNAAAATAAAACTTCATTTATTCTTGGGTAGTTACAAAATTTGGGTGGATGATAATTTAGACTTGTGGTGTTTCTTTAATGTATTTAACGTTCCATTTAAGAAAAATCTAAAGAACCGTTAGTTAAGACTCCGGAACAATCAAATAGCTGGAGATGATTAAAATAACCCGCTAAATGAACTCTACTGCTTATGAAATTTTAATACTCCATTAGGCAGTGAAACCAAGATATGGGGAAAAACATTCATCACGATAGATACGTCTTTACCTCCTAGGATGACTAACGAGATATCCATGAAATAAGGGATTCCCCATATGTACCCTTGGTCGCTGACAAGATTCTACGTGCACAAGATCACATTGGGCGATTCCTAAGGAGAACTCTTAAGTTCCAAGCTTGACCAAAGCTTGATCCAACATGTTATAAATAATGTTGGATTTTAAGAGTTATATTTGCACATTAGATGAGCAGGTAGCGGCTCTGAGTACGTTGAATTTAGGGTCATTACGAATGTGATTCAATAATAAGTAAAATATTTTTTGTATTTAATTTCTAACAAAAAAAAAAAAAATCTAAATAATTACAACAAAATCAAGATAAAAGAAAAAGGAGATGTAAGATATAATTTATAGTAACAAACATTCCACGGACATCTTTCTCGGAACCTCAAACTTCTATCCATCTAAAATATAAATTACTTTTTAATAAATAATTTTAAATGTTAAAATAATTAATAATTAATTTCTTATTCTAATTAGATCATTATGACTCTATTTCAAGAAAAAAAACGTTGGATATAAAATTATTAGATGTGATATTTTTTTAGAGTTAAAAGTTTATTACAAATATTTAACAAGTTTCCATATATACCATAGAGCTAATCGAGAATATTCATTATCAATATTATTTTGATATATGATAATTTCAATAAAAAATAAGAAACAATTTAAAATATTGAAATCAACCTGGCACATCGAGTATAAAGTATGTATTGTCTGTTAATAATCGATTAAAATGTTGTTTTAATCCATCACCAAACATATTGTTAAAGTAAAATAATTTGACATTTCTCTTATACATATATTTTCGTGTATTATCTTTAAAGTCTTAAATATGTATTGTCAGAAATTTTAGTTTGTTTGACCACTGTTGCCATGATTCGAGGGCGGCGCATGAACACTACCGCTTAAAGAAGTTACAAATGTATCAATTGTCTGTAGTGGTAAAGAAAGAACAAACTAAGTCGCCATAAATGGTAGAGCTTAGCCACGGCTACACAAAATTGTCAGAAATCAAAATTGAAACCTTACAAAGGAAATAGGGGAATATTTGTGGAGTTAAAATTTCCATAAGAGTTTTAGAATATGGAATCTACTCATCGTATGGCTATATATATATATATATAAAAGAGAGAGGAATGGTTTTTTAATGAAATTACAGTCATACCCTTTGAATTTTTAAATAAATTATTTGGCTGTTAGTTGAATTCGACACAAAATCCTAGGTTTGCATGGTCTGAAAATCATCAACAACAGGGAGAAAAAATGCAAACCAGAATGGGTTGAAATTTTATGTGGTCCACAAACATCACAATTTAACAGATGCAGAATGGGTTGTTATTGAACTATTTGGGAAAGACAACCTAGTTTGTTTTGGTAATGGGCAAATACTACCATTATGAGAAAGAGTAGCATTATTTAGATGCAATTGATTAGCTAGAAATTTTAAACGAGAAGGAGAAGGATAGCCTAGCCGTAAATGCCACAAATCAAATGACTGAGATACTTGATTTGCCGAAGACTTGATTGGAGATGAAGAAATATGATAGAGACCTCCGAATTGTTTACCCGAGCCAATCATCTTCCCCGTAGCCAAGTCCTGCATAACACAAGATTCAGGATTCGACACAAAAGTATTTGCATGGTCTGGCCAGAATATGGGGTCACTTCCTCATATTTGACCTGAGGACTACATGGATGTCACCATCATAATTTGCATGGAATTCTATTTCCCCTCCCACCCCTAATGTTTGGGAGTTAGTATGGATAGAGGAGCGGTCCTAGATTAGCTTATGTGGCACAAGAATATCATGGGTATAGATAGACGAGTGACCCTAGATTAGCTTATGTGGCACAAGATTATCATGGGTGGAAACGAGTAGAGGAGTTGCCAACTAATCCCTAGTAGTGAACTAGTTGGATCTAAAATGAGGTCACACCTCGTAAATTGTGATACAATTAGGTCACACCTGTACCGAACCCTGATAAATAGATGCACTTCAGTAAGTTGAGTGATATGATATCACGCCTAGATAAGAGCCTTTATTGGACTAGACAATGAGAAACTATGGAAAGCTAAACCAAGTAAAACATTGAAGCCTAAATCGAATTAGAGCATAAGAAACCAAAGGTTTGAGCTTTTGTTTGGGTGCTAACAAAAGCTTGTTTAAGCTTCCAAATAACTCCATGAATAGTAAAACAATAATTACCTAATATAGATAGGACTTTTTTAGCTTAAAACAAACTAGATTTAAAAGATAAAAACATATATAAAAAATAATAATAATAAAAAAAAAATTATATTTCTTACGTCGTCTAAAAAAACATAAGTTAAATTTTTAATATAAACGTGAACGAATTACCAAATGACTAAAAAACTGACAAACGTTGACACAAAGTAGAAGAGGCTATAATTTGTAGTTTTCTATAGTACATGCTCTACATCCGTTCCCAAAATCCACCAACTACTAATCCTTACCTGAAAAAATTGTAAAAAACGACTACAAAAGTCAATAATTAGGGTATCCTGCAAGTAACATAGGTAGGTATGAATATAGTAGGACATCTTGCAAGTAACGTGAGAAGGTTTCTGTAACATGGGTAGGTATCCTCCACCCAAAAAAAATAAAAAAAAATAAAAATAAAAAAATAATAGGAACATGAAACATAACATCATCCAAATAAAACATGGTTAGGATATCTTGCAAGAAACATATGTAAGGTAAACCTGCAAGAAGCATGGACACGACGTCCTACAAGAAACATGTGTAGGGCATCTAATCTTAGCAAGGAAAACATGTGATCATAATGTATTTCATGGTGGAAAGTCTAGGGTGACTTAGGTTATGGTTAGAGTAGAACCTAGTAGTCTTAGTGTCTTAAGACTTGAGTTTTGCTTTTTTTGGGACACACGTATCTTACGTGGTCCTTGACCTTA